TGATTGAATTAATGCATGACATGGTTTTGAGAAAGTATTGATTTGGTTTTGATTATTCCAGTTTACTCTATTTACGTTGATTTTTATTTTGTGTGGTATCGGTTGAGAGATTAACAACAAAATCAACAGGAAACATGTCTAATTCTTTATTGCATTATTCTAATGAGGAGATTATAAATAATGCAAACCAATAAGGAGTTTCGCTAGGGGCAAATGATAGTGAAATCTCCAATTCGGTGAATGATTTTTTAGATTTGGAAGCGGAGCGTGAGCTAGAAACTATTCGAAATCTAGCAGCGGTACAACCCATGAATGATGATGAGATTGATGCGTTGGGGGTGAGAGTGCTCAATAATCTGTGTGCGGATCTAGCACCATCCAATCATGAGCCTGGGGTAGAAGATGCACCCCTAGATAATGCAGAAGCTAGCACCGCTCAGCCCGGTTATGAGGACCGGGTGGAAGCTCCTAGTAAACCAAAGCGCAAGTGGAAACAGAAGATTTATCCCGATTCTGCGGTTCATAGGAGTGCTAGGATTCGGACTACCAAAAAATTTCATGATAAATTATGAAAGGAATCTTTTGGAATAGCAGAGGTCTGAAAGACTTGGCTAAAAGAAGGTTTCTTGCTGAAGCATCTCTGAAGCATAGATTAGATTTTATTGCTCTCTCGGAAACTGGACGCGAAAATTTTGCGCCCCAGTTTCTTAGCTCTCTTGCGGGCGGTGTTGATTTCTATTGGCATTGCCTACCTCCTAGAGGAAGATCGAGTGGGATCTTGCTTGGTGTGAGATGTGATTCCTTAGAAGTCCAAAGTGTAGTGATGGGGGACTTCGCGGTTAAGTTTCGAGTCAGGTCTAAAGCTGATGGTTTCAACTGGGCTTTGCTGGCGGTATATGGTGCCACACAGCCCGAGCTTAAACCGGAGTTTTTGGCGGACCTTGTTTGAATATGTGGATCCGAACATGTCCCAATTTTAGTTGGGGGTGATTTCAATATCATTAGGAGGAGAGAGGGAAAAATAATGATAATTTTGACGGCAGGTGGTTGTTTATGTTCAATACCATTATTGAAAGCTTGGATCTGAGGGGAGCTTTCCGGTAGAAAGTTTACCTGGGCTAATGTTATGCCAAACCCGACATATGAAAAGCTTGATCGAGTTCTCACGAGCGTTGAGTGGGAACAGAAGTTTCCTCTCGTAACAGTGCAGGCGCTCTCGCGCGGAATATCCGATCACACACCGTTGTTTGTGGACTCAGGGGAGCCACATCACGTGGGAAACAAAAACACATTTTCTTTCGAGATGGCATGGTTTGAACGAGAAGGTTTCTTGGATCTGATAGCCAGGGAATGGGCTAAGGATGCAGGAGGTCGGACTTCTGTCGAACGTTGGCAGAATAAGATCAGGCATTTGAGAAGTTTCTTACGGGGTTGGGCTAAGAACCTTAGTGGAATGTATATGATTGAAAAGGAAAGGCTCCTTTCTCTTATTCAGACACTAGACATAAAGGCTGAATCCATGATTTTGCAACAAGTAGAGTGTCAAGTTAAACTTGATGCGGATAAGAGGTTGAAAGAACTTCTACGTGAAGAAGAATTGAAGTGGGCATTGCGGGCTAAGGTCAGCAAAGTCATCCAGGGGGACGCGAACACTCAATTCTTTCACTTGATTGCTAATGTTAAGCATAGAAAGAAGAGAATCCTTCAGCTTGAACAAGATGAAGGAACTATTTTAGGACAGGACAACCTAAAAATGTACATAACCGAGTATTACAAGCAGTTATTTGGACCTTCGGAGGATAGTTGTGTGTCCCTCGACGAGTCCGGGACTGAGGATGTGCCTCAACTAACTGCAGTGGATAATGATATTTTGGTTGCTCCGTTCTCAGGAGAAGGAGATTTTTGAAGCGATATCACAGATGAAAAACAATTAGGCTCCCGGACCTGATGGATTCCCGGTTGAGTTTTACAAAAAGTGCTGGCACATTATTAAGGGGGATTTGTTACCAATGTTTCATGATCTGTTCTCTGGCCAGCTTCACTTATTTCACTTGAATTTTGGAATAATAACACTGCTGCCTAAGAAAACGGATGCTGTGAGAATAGAGCAGTTCAGGCTGATCTGCCTTCTCAATGTTAGTTTCAAAATCTTCACCAAGGTCGGGACTAATAGGCTCACACAGATTGCGCATTCTGTGGTGCAACAGTCCCAAACTGCTTTTATGTCGGACAGGAACATCCTAGAAGGGGTGGTCGTCCTTCATGAAACGCTCCATGAAATCCATTCGAAAAAATTAGATGGAGTTGTTTTTAAGGTGGATTTTGAGAAAGCGTACGATAAAGTCAAATGGCCATTCCTCCAACAGGCATTGCGTATGAAAGGTTTTGATGAAGCCTGGCGCCGCCAGGTTGAATCGTTTATGCAAAAAGGGAGTGTTGGAATTAAAGTGAATGACAATATCAGTCATTATTTCTAGACACATAAAGGCCTGAGACAAGGGGATCCGATGTCTCCTATCTTGTTTAACATTGTAGTTGATATGTTAGCAATTTTGATAGGACAGGCTAAGGAGGCTGGTCAAGTAGGTGGCTTGGTACCTCATCTTGTTGATGGAGGTGTGTCCATCCTTCAATACGCTGATGATATTATCATCTTTATGGAGCATGACTTGGCCAAGGCGAGAAATATGAAGCTGGTGTTATGCCTCTTTGAACAATTGACCAGGTTAAAGATTAACTTTCACAAGAGCGAATTGTTCTACTTTGGTAGAGCCAAAGATGAACAAGAGGCTTATAGGCAATTGTTTGGGTGCGATTTGGGGGCTTTACCTTTCACGTACTTAGGTATACCAATCCACCACCGTAAGCTAACAAACAGAGAATGGAAATGCATCGAGGACCGGTTTGAAAAGAAACTGAGTTGCTGGAAGGGCAAGCTCATGTCATACGGAGGCCGATTAATTCTGATAAATTCGGTTCTCACGAGTATGCCTATGTTTCTCTTATCGTTCTTTGAAGTCCCAGTTGGAGTCAGGAAAAGACTAGACTTTTATCGATCGCGATTTTTTTGGCAAGGTGATGAACTAAAAAGAAAATACCGTCTAGCTAAATGGGATATCATCTGTAGACCGAAAGACCAAAGGGATCTTGGTATTGAGAATCTTGAAGTTAAAAACAGATGCCTTCTTAGTAAGTGGATGTGGAAGTTGTCGAGTGAGACTGATGCCATGTGGACGCAAATCCTTCGTAACAAGTATCTTCAGACCAAAACTTTGTCTCAGGTGACAGTAAGGCCGACTGACTCGCCTTTCTGGAAGGGGCTTATGAAAGTTAAAACATCTCTGTTTAATAGGACAAAGTTTATTATTCGTAACGGTGCTGGTACACGTTTCTGGGAGGATACTTGGCTCGGAGACACACTTTTAGCCATTCAATACCCGTCTTTATATCGTATTGTTCAACGACGTGAGGTGTTCATTGCAACGGTATTTCAATCTATCCCCTTTAATATTCAATTCAGACGATCACTAGCGGGCAATCGTTGGGAAGAATGGCTCCGTCTAGTACGCAGACTGATGGAGGTTCAGCTTTCTCAACAACCCGACGAATTACGCTCGAAGCTTACTAGGTCTGGAGTATTCACAGTTAAATCCATGTATATTCATATTATCAATTCAAGCTTCATTCCTAGCTCCAAGCATGTCTGGGATGTCAAAGTTCCGTTAAAAATAAAAGTGTTTATGTGGTTTGTCCATAAACAAGTTATTTTAACCAAGAACAACTTGAAAAAGCGTAATTGGACATGACCTACTAGGTGTAGTTTCTGTGATCGGGATGAGACGATCAAACACATTTTGCTTGATTGCCCGCTAGCCAAAGTTTTATGGCGGACGGTCCATATTACTTTCAATATTACTCCACCGAATTCTGTCAACACGTTATTTGGGACATGGCTTAACGGGATAGAGCCCGACTTAGCGAGACATATTCGTATAGGAGTTTGTACCTTGTTGTGGACTATATGGAATTGCAGAAATAATTTGGTTTTTACCAGGATATCACGTATTCATTTTTTGCAGGTTATTTTCCGAGCCATGGCATTGATCCGTTCGTGGTCGCTAGTCGCTACTCACTCCGACAGAGGCCAGGAAGCATTTGGTTACTGGATCTATCCGCTGGGAGATGGTAACTCGGGATATATTCAACCGGTTTGGATGGCGGTCATGTAATAGGATAGACAATTAGTTTACCTCTGTTTTGCCAGCCGGTTGTGGCGTCCTTTAGTTCGCTAGTTTGTATTCTAGCTCTTTTGGCTCTGTGTGAGCTTTTTTTTGTCTTTGGGAGACTTCTAGACTTTCAGACTTTGTTTGAAACCTATTTATTTGCTTAATAAGAGGGCCGTATGCATCGCTCAGATGCAGAGGCCGGGGCATTCCTTCTTTTTGAAAAAAAAAGGAAGCCAAAGCGGGAAGGAGGGTGTAGGAGGAAAAACCGAGGGAGAAGTGAGGCGAAAGTAGAGATTGTGTTGCAGATTTCTGTTCTATATTCTTCTTTTTTCTTGAAGAAGAAAATGTATTTATAGGGGTTTTTCTTGAAAAAAATGTGTGTGTGTTTTTTTGAGAAACAAAAGGTGTATGCTCTGTTTGGGCTGGCGTACGACGGGACCAGCCCACACATGACATACGAAGGCAGCAGTTTGCAAATGTCACCTCGAAACGGCCTGTAAAGTACTGTAGCATCGATCCCTTCGTGTGAACGTGCGCTCATCCCACCGACCCAGAAAGGCGTGCCGAATTCGAAATTCGAAATCTGAAGCAACCGTTGGAACGCCTTCCCTCAAACGGCTCTCTCGCATACAAATCTCCCCCACGATCCCCTCCCCAATCACAAACCCTAACCCCAGCCGCCCCCCCATTCCCAACCCACACCACCACCAAATCACCCATCCCGCACGGCAGCCCACCAGAGAGGAAGAGGCCGAGGGAGAGCGGATCTGCGCGATGGCGACGCTCCAGCACCAGAACCAGGGGGCGGCGGCGCCGATGACCACGACTGGCGGCGGGCTGCGCGCCATGGACCTCTACGAGAAGCTGGAGAAGGTCGGGGAGGGCACCTACGGCAAGGTGTACAAGGCCCGGGAGAAGGCGACGGGCCGGATCGTGGCGCTCAAGAAGACGCGCCTCCCGGAGGACGACGAGGGCGTGCCCCCCACGGCGCTCAGGGAGGTCTCGCTGCTGCGGATGCTGTCGCAGGACCCGCACGTCGTGCGCCTGCTGGATCTCAAGCAGGGCCAGAACAAGGAGGGCCAGACCATCCTCTACCTCGTCTTCGAGTACATGGACACCGACCTCAAGAAATTCATCCGCGGCCACCGCCAGAACCACGAGAAGATCCCCGCCCACACCGTCAAGGTATATCTCTCATTCCCTCTCTTCGCCGTCTCGCTTCTTTTGTTGTTCGTTTTCCATGCCTTGCACGCGAGGTGTTTGCTTGAATGCACATACAGTGATTGATTCTATGGTGAACTGGTGATCCGTGCGTGCAGATCCTGATGTACCAGCTCTGCAAGGGCGTGGCTTTCTGCCACGGACGCGGTGTCCTGCACCGTGACCTCAAGCCCCACAACCTGCTCATGGACCGCAAGACCATGGCTCTCAAGATCGCCGATCTTGGGCTCAGTCGTGCCTTCACGGTTCCTCTCAAGAAGTACACACACGAGGTACGATTCCTGGTTCTGTTACCAGTATTAGTGCCGGATTGCTGTCTGATTCTGCATCATTCACGCCACTTGATCTGTTCATGACACAGTCTGAATTCTTTTGCAGATCCTTACTCTGTGGTACAGAGCTCCTGAGGTCCTTCTTGGCGCCACACACTACTCAACGCCGGTTGACATGTGGTCTGTGGGCTGCATATTTGGTATGATGAACTTAACGTTGTAAATTAGCATACTTTGAGAATTTAATCCTCTTAGGTAGATATGCTGAATTCCTTGTAAATGGCAGCTGAGTTGATCACTACCACGGCACTTTTCCCTGGAGACTCTGAGGTGCAGCAGCTCCTGCACATTTTCAAGTACAGTACCACACCTGGTCACACTTGCTTGTTTTCTCACTTGGCATCAGTAGGGGATATCAGATGTTGATGGTCTATATTGGTATTTGAATGATAGGTTGCTGGGCACTCCAAATGAGGATGTCTGGCCAGGAGTAGGCAAACTCCCGAACTGGCATGAGTACCCTCAGTGGAACGTCTCAAAGCTGTCTTCTGTAATTCCTAGTCTCGATGCCGATGGTATTGATCTGCTTGAGGTTAGTAATCAAGCATGGGATCCGTGCTACTCTATCCTTGTAGAAAATATAGAAGCAGAGGTGCTCTTGTGAGAATCTGGTGCTAACTTATAGCTGTGATCCTTTGCAGAAAATGCTGCAGTATGAGCCGGCAAAGCGAATCTCTGCGAAGAAGGCCATGGAGCACCCATACTTTGATGATGTGGACAAGGCGCTGTACTGAAGCTGTCTTCGTGGCTAGCAAGAAGCGGATTTCTTGTGATTTGTGCTTGTCCTGAAGCATATCTTTTGCTTCCAGGGCAGGCATCTTTACCTCTGTTATTCCAGCTGCCATTTAGTTTTGCCCCATTGACTGATGGTTGTGATGGATAGTGACTCTGGAGTTATGCATAATTAAACGCCTCTTGCCAGGCGTTAAGTACTGATCTTGTGAAGCACTACTTCTGCTTCAAAATCAGACTTTACCTCTTTTTCTAGCTGCTATTTATAGTGTACGCCATTCATTTTTGTTTCTGATGGATAACTGAAAAATCGTCTTGATGAAGGTAAAAGACTTGTGAGATTATCTAATTTCGTCTTGATGCTCAAGTCATCCTTGAGCTGAACTGCCTCTTGATGAATGTAGATTGCCAGTCATTCTTCTGATTACCGGAATTGTACTCGTCCAGTCACCCTTGAGCTGAACTGCCAGAATGTTTAGTGATATGCTGATGAATGGTACAAACTTGAGCTGTCTGCGCTGATTGTTTTGTTTGAGTGGCAAGCTGGTTTTGTGTAAATGATGGTGTGTCATCTTGGCTTATGGTGCATGAACAAAGTTCACGTCTAAATACTAAAGAGTAAATCTAGCAGATTCCCTAAAAACAGCTTTTAAAGCTGAAGACAACTACTTTATGTAGCATGGCAATTCGGCCAGCTACGTCGGCAATTCCCCTTTTTTTTTCTTGGCATGACAATTCTCTCTGGTGCAACATGGAAAATCCTTGGAACGCATGACAATTCTCTCTGCTGCAGCATGGCGAAGTTCATGAAACACATGACACTTTTCTCTGTTTAGCACAATAATTATTTCTTCTTAGCATGGCAAACCTCCATGTTATAGCATGACAATTCCTAGCCTCCTTTGGTTTGTAGGAATCTTGTAGGAATTTCATAAGATAGGATTTTCGAAGGAAAAATCCCTATCCTATGCATCAAATGACATGCCTTTCTCTATAGGAATTGAGATGCATGTCATCTCACTTCCTATGATTTTCCTGTTCCTATGATATTTCTATCCTATGAACCAAAGGAGGCCTGAATGTTTTCTGGAGTAGATTTTTGAGATAACACTCTGGGGTGGCGCCGTTCGCTCGAATGAGCCTCCCTGAGGGCACGTCCGTTTATGCCAGAGTTCTCCCGTAGGGAATGTCATCGCCTATAAGGGTCTCATATGTGTGTGTTTATACTCAAAACTTCTACTTCTAGTTGACACATATATCTAACCAAACAAAGTCCGATTGGTCATCAAACATTTTTTTTATGTGGGGCATCAAATATTTCAATAGCATTAGAAAGTAGATAGTTCAAATATAGGGGGAGGATGCTGTTGGCGTGGTTCCGCACACATATATTAGAGCTCTTGCTGGAGGTACCAATCTTGCAAGCTCCGCCTCTCCTCTATATCCATGAGGAGCTTCAGTTACCAACCCAGCAAGTTCTTGGGACAGAGGTAGGTAGGCGTGGAGGCAAGAGGAGCTTCAGTTACCAACCCAGCAAGGTTGATGTCTTGCTTGGGAGCAGATGCTGATTGGACTGAAGTTCCTACGGTGGAAATTTTAGTTCTTTTCCTCTTAGGCTTAGGCAGTGGGGCTTTCTCTTGTGAACTACTCCCTCCGTTCCAAAATAGATGACTCAACTTTATACTAAGTTTAGTACAAAGTTGGGTCATCTATTTTGGAACGGAGGGACAACTATTTCTTGCTCAGGAAAAGATCGTGCATCCATGTTAATCTCTGAATAATGGACGCATTCAAATATGTTCCTGATGTCTTGAAGCAAACAAGCAAACAAGTTGAACACTGACAAGCTGAGCACAACAAGTGATGAGTGGATTTTACACTCATATTTTCTTGAATTTTAAAATGAATATTCTTAGATATTCTCTGCGATTATCTCTTCAATTAACTAATATTCGCTAATAATTTGCAAAGGTGCGCAAATCACCCTGCTTTAACTTTTTGTTGAAGATATGGAGATAATCCGGAGGAAATAAATACATAATCAGCAAGCACTTAAAAGTGGATTAAACATAGGATTTAGTTTATTTGATTGCATAATAGAAAAACCAAAATGCTTTTTCGAGAGGCTTGAGTGAATGCAAAATTCCCTAAAATGTAATACAAATGAATCCTTGAAAAATCCTATTACCTCCGTGGGAAAATAAGTGACGTGGTTTTAGTTCAAATTAAAACCACATCACTTATTTTCGAAGTGAGGGAGTATAAGATTCAAAATCCTACCCCTCCATCTCAAAAATAAGTGCCTCAACTTTGTACTAACTTTAGTATAATTTTGTAATAAAGTTGAGACACTTACTTTGAGACGGATGGAGTATTAATCAAGCACATGATAGAACCCCAACTCTACGGTAACTCTTACCATGCCATCACCTCCACCCTTCGCTCCTGCAACCCAATCTCTCATGTAACCCTAACCACGTCGTTACTACCGCCCCTCTTCTCCTTCTCCCCCTTGCCACCGCCAAGAAAAGCTTACTGGCAACCGGTGGCGCCGGTATCCTCTTCTCATGTGGCAGCATCAGGAACTTTCAACAAGATCTCATGGGGGTTGCGCGTCCAAGCCTGCACGCGGCAGCTACATCATCCCAGATGAGACTGCCCTATGCGGATGTGGACCGTGTCCCTAGAGTGTGCAGTGCTTGCTGAGCGGTCTAGGTGGTGGATGCACGTGATGGTGTGCTCATACTTGGTCCGGCGGCACACTGTTCTAGTGGGGCTGAAGTTTAGTACTCCCTCCATCCTAAAATTCTTGTCTTAGATTTGTCTAGATACGTATGTATCTAATGCTAAAATATGACTTGGTACATCCGTATTTAGACAAATCTAAGACAAGAATTTTGGGATGGAGGAAGTAGTTATTAAATCGTTAGCACCATATAAAAACATTCCCCCTAGCCTTCTTCCCTAATCAAAGATTGGAGAAAGAAGATCTAAGAGGGTGTGCCCCATCCTACTCAGGTCAGAGCGTAAGCTAGTGATGCTTTTGGCTACTAGACTTTAGTCATCTAGGGTGCGGCACTCAGCCACTTCACCTAGCAACACAACGACTGTATTGCTCTCCCACAACTCCGTTTTCATGGTTTAGGCTGCTTCCATTTTCGCTCGCGTTGAATTAAGAATTCTCACAGTAACAAGGTCTACTCAATGTTAATTAGGCGTAAATGAAACTTTAGCAAAAATCTTGTAAAACAAAAAAAGGGATATTCAATTACCCTATGTTTGTTTTCAAAGCACAAAAGTTCTTGACAAGATTCGCTGGCGTTACTACAAAGAGAATTAGCGAATCCTAAGGCAAAGGGGCGAGAAACTCAAGGCCACTCTTCCTCCGGGCTTTCTTTCCGCATTGGTGAAATAAAGTCGGGTGAATTAGTCGAATTTGCAGGGATCTTGGCGGAGGCTTCCCGGATAAATAGTAACGATCAGTCGAAGAACACCATGCATTGATGGGTGTTGAAGAAAAATTGAGCGTTTCTTGTCACAACCTTTCTTTGTGCGGTTGATTTCCCATTCTTCTTTGCTAGCACTTGACTCCTGAGAGTTGCATCCGTGGGATATCTTCAACAAGGCATGTTACTCGCGTCGTGATTATTGCTCGCCATGCGACATGACTCGCATGTGAGACATCCTAGCTTCCCATTCGCAACTTCTAGCCTCGCCGACTCGGTGGTGGTCGGTTTGGTTGCCCTCTCGGATGGCCCCCGACGGCATAAGACGGCTTGAGGCGATGTGTGTACAACTACTTGAGGAAGTGGTGAAGGTTGTGGAGCATCAGTAGTCTTGAGCATAGCCGTTGAGGGAATCGCCTGATCGGATTTCTTACTCCTTGGTATGTCGGACGGTGATTTGCTGCCACATGCGAGGAAAATGGAGCAAGAGGTGATGTATGGTGGTGTTGTCTGTTATAGATTTGCCATTATTTGCCACCTCGAAGGTGGGAGGACGGCGAGGGATGACCAAAGTGTCTCGAATTGGGATTTTGGCAGTGTTAATGTCCTCCTCCCTTGTATATGGCTTCATCGCGTGTGCCATAATGACCATTCCTTGTGTCGCCCTTTGTGTGGTGAGTAGCTCTTTCATGATTGTATTGTCCTCTTGTGCATGCATGTTCATGTTTTGTGTGGAGTCTCACGTCATGACCATGCATCGTATCTTGATCCTTGTAATGCGGAAAGTGGAAGTGACAGCACATGTCGACTTCTCGAGTATCCGGTCTCGAGCTCTAGGTTGAAAACGTAGGTCTAACCTTAGTTGAGCATACCTGACAATAACAACGTTTTGCATCGTTAACTTGTCAAATGCTTTACTTGGAGCTTATTTAGACTTGTTCTTTAGGTTGAAAATGCACGATCTAGCCTTTGATGGTTGGATTCGGGGATAGTGGCGCTTGCACGTCATTCCCTTTCTAAGACGTTGCTTTTTTAAGAATCTTATTCGTAGTCACTGTATTGTCAAGATATGATTGGTGCCGATGGTCATTGCTGGATTTTGTCGATCGCCGTTTTGATCGCTTCGGGGGTCTTTTATTTTTCTTTTTTCCGCCTTGGCATAGCTTCGATCATGTATGACTTTGATCTTGTTGGTGAGATCTTTTGTGTGTTATCTCTTTGATGCTTCATTATGAGTCAATAAAATCATCATTTGTCAAAAAATCAAGCATACTATATAAAAAAGTTTTCAAGGGATTTTTCCCTTTTAAGCCGGTTTCCTGGGGATTTCGATTTTCTAAATTCATAAGAAGGTCCTTTGAATCAAATACGCCCTAATTTTGAGAAGACGGTACGCTATATGGTATCTTTTAAAAAAAAGGAATCACCCCCGGCCTCTGCATCTGGGTGATGCATGCGGCCATATTATTTATTATCCACAAAGACCTTACAAAGTAATACAACAGTAAGCCCAAAGCCATCATGTAGACGACACATGTCGCTACTCCTATCCTCTTGATGAAGGGGTGCCGAATGTCCGGGTCAAATACCAAACAGACATCACACGAAAGCCTAACATCTAACGTTGGATGCCCCATCCAAGCAACATAGGCGGGACTGGGTAACACTCCGGTCTGGCGCACTCTCAGTGAGTATCACACGCACA